TAATTTTTCTTCTCTGTTTTTTTTTTTAGTCCCCTGGGCCTCTTCCCCCCCCCCCCCACCCCCCCGCCCACAATTCCTATAATCACTTTTATCTAAGCTGGATCTGTTTTCCTTAATTAATCTGTTCTGTTGTGCTGCTTCAACCCCTGGACTTTTCCTTCTGCTCACAGCGATGAGGCTGACAGAGGGGACAGCTGAGCAAGGACAGGGAATGAGCTTGAGCTGAGGCTAATGACCCAAACTCACTGCCCAAGCCAATGCCAAAGGAGGGAAGAGGAGTGCATAAATAAGCCAGATAAAAATAAAAACTTCCATCACTTGGGAGAGAGGGTGACTCCTCTGGAAAGTGCCTCACCGGGTCGAGGAGGAGATGACTTAATGGGAAGATGGCAGGATCCTAACCTTCCTAGAATAGTAACGAGCTGCTGGAGGCGCTGCTGCCCTTCCCCCAGTTCGGATCAGGTCCCGTGGGAGAAGAGAAGAGCTGGGAAAATCCTTTAGCACAGCCGGAGGGTGGGATAGATGCTGGCAGAGGGAGCGTGGCAGCTGGGCTGCCAGGGTGATGCTTGGGAAGGAGCAGCCTTTCACTTTTCTCCTGCTGTAATCATCCAGGAGCAATCCCTGGTTGCAGGGTATCCTCAGGGATACCTTCTGGGGAGAGGGAATTACTTAAAACCGGCTTAAAACCGGCTCTCCCCAATAAGGGAGTGTCAACGGTGTGAATTATCCCGGCCTTTAAAGGTGTCTGGCCCGGGCCAGGTGCCAGCAGGGGCTGGGGGAAAGCCTCGGGGCCGGGAGCTGATGGGCAGCCAGGGCTTCTCAGGAACGCGTTTCACGCCGGCTGCTCTCGCTCTCCTGGCCTGATGCAAGCCGGCATCCCCCGCCCATCCCTCCTCTCCTGGGGCAGGGGAAGGGGAGGAAGGCCCTGCACACTCAGTGCTGCAGCATCCTGTGTCAGCGCTCAGGAATCCGGCAGGCTGCTGGGAGGGAGGCGGGAGGCAGCCCAGCAGCGGGGCTGTGCCTGCTGGGGCCTCTCCCTGCCTGGGGAGCCCGAGGGTACCGGAGCATCCCTGGGGACTGCATCTCTTGGGATCTCTCCCTGCACGAGGGTACTGGATCATCCTGGGGGCTGCACCTCCTGGGATCTCTCCCTGCCCGGGGGGGTACCAGAGCATCCTGGGGACTGCATCTCTTGGGATCTCTCCTGAGGGTACCGGAGGATCCCTGGGGGCTGTACCTCTTGGGATCTCTCCCTGCCCAAGGGTACAGGATCATCCCAGGGACTGCACCTCCTGGGATCTCTCCCTGCCCAAGGGTACAGGATCATCCCAGGGACTGCACCTCCTGGGATCTCTCCTCTCCTGAGGGTACCAGGGCATTCCTGGGGACTGCACCTCCTGGGATCTCTCCCTGCCTGTGGAGCCCGGGAATACTCTGTCGGGAAGCTTTGCCAAAGGCTAAACCCCAGGACAGGGTTTTTTTTGGGTGGGGGGATGGAGGGATGGGGAAGTGCTGTGGCACAGTGCTGCATGCTTAGATGATAATTCCAAAGGCTGACGAGAGGCACGCCTGGATCTCCAGGGCTGCTGCGGGGCTTGCATCTGTCTCCAATGTACTGTGCTTGCTGGCAATGCTCTGCCAATATATATTTAGGGTGGGTGGGGGGATCCCCCTCCCCGGTCCCCAGCGGGCTGGGGGGTTCCTTCAGGGGAGCAGGGGCAGGCTCCGTGTTTTCCTGGGCAGGGTGGTCCAGCCCAGCCGGAGGGGGAAGGCGGTGGAGCTTGCTGGCAGGGCTAAGGCTCATGGAAAACTCCCTGGCTTTTTCCAAGGAGGATCCTTTGAGAGGCTGCAGTGGGGCAGAGAGAGGGGTTGGCACCGTGAGGGGATGGCTGGAGTGGAGAGAAACCGGCTGGAAAGTGCCCAGAGCTGCCTTGGGAAGGAAGAAAACCGATGGGAGAGAGTTATTCCAGGACAGCACGGCTCCCGGAGGCAGGGTCAGGGCCAGGCGAGCACCGGGATGAGCGACAAACACAAACAACTCCCTTCTCCCGGTCTTCTGCTTGTGATTTCTGCTCCCGACATGCAAACCCTGAGGGGCCCCCCTCCCCTCCCTCCTTCTCCCCAGCTGGGCGAGGGCTGGCCTGGCCGCCTAATGAAATGCAGAGCTGCTTGGGAGAGCAGAGGGGGGGAAAAAAAAGGCTCTGTTTGAGGTTTTGTGCCTCTGGTTTCCTCTGGCCCTCTCTCCCAGCGGGGTGATTTATTGGTGATGGAGCCTGGGGAGAGGGGGAGGGAAGGGCTTAGAGCTTGCAGGCAAATAGTCATCGTTTATTTCCCAAGCACTCACGCGAGGCAAAGGGAAAAAGGGGAGGAGAGGGAAGCAAAAAGTGCCTGGGCAGGGGCTGAGGAGCATCATTTACTGGAGCTGAGCACTCCCGAGTTTCTCCCAGTTGCTCTGAGGGGGTGTTTGAGCACTTCCCACAGCAAAGGACTGGCTTTGAGGTGCATGCCCTCTGCTTCTACCCCAATTTTCCCACTTTGCCTCCCTCCTCTCTTCCTTCCGAGGCAGTAGGGTGCCGAGAGCTGCCTGTAGGCATCTGGGCTGGCTCTTGTGGCCCAGTGCTCCCTTTTCTGGTGCAGCTGAGTGGGAGGACACCTCATTCTTTTTCCCTTTCCTGCAGCCACAGCCAAGGAGGCCAGCCAGACCTTTCCCAGGCTGGCAGAGAAGCAGAGCAGAACCTATCGCCACCGCCCCTTTTTTGGGCACCTGCATGCCCCAAAAGCGACGTGCTGTGACCTACCTGGCTGCAGATGCATTTGCTAG